GCTATAGTTTCTTGTATATACTAAGTGTTTGATATATCCCCACAGCATAGAGGAATACCCTACTGCAACATCCCTTGCTACAGTTTCTTGTATATCCAAGTGTTTGATATCCTCACAGCATAGAAGAATACCCTACTGCAACATCCCTTGCTACATTGCCTTGTATATCTAAGTGTATGATATCCCCACAGCATAGAGGAATACCCTACTGCAACATCCCTTGCTACATTGCCTTGTATATACTAAGTGTATGATATCTCCACAGCATAGAGGAATACCCTACTGCAACATTCCTTGCTACAGTTTCTTGTTTGGTCCTGGTGGATATGGTCATGGAGGAACAGAATCACACAAATATTATGATGAAGAAAAGTTTCCCAGAGCTGGTTTAGAAGCTATAAGGTAAACAAGTTATCTATAATATGCAAGGTTTTGTGTCTTAATTGAATGATGATTCCAGGAATAGATTTACCACTACACCACCCCTGAAAGTAAAGGGAAGCACAGGTGGTGAAAGTGTCCACCTCTCACCAATGTGACTCAAGTTTGAGTCCAGTGGCTGTCAACTTGAAAGTTTACACTATTTCGACAGCCACACACACTGTACCATCAACAACACTGATAATTCTCTTATTTTATTTCAAATTGTGTTATATATATACTTACTTGTAAACATTTATATGTGTGTAAATAAACAAAGTTCAAGTTCAGGGAGGTCCCAGGTGTTGTATGTGAGTAGAGTTTCTTGCTGCTTCTCTCCTACAAGGCTTTTTCTCCAGGCTCTCTGGTTTTCCTTCTCTCCCAAAATCAATTGGATTTTCAGTGGATGAAAAGCCACTCTGTGGAAATGTCACTGTTGAATCCCATTTATTTTATTTATTTATTATTTATCATTCATTATTTATTTTCAATTTTAAAAAGATGTACTTGCATAGAGTAAAAAAGCAGCTAATGTATAAGTCATCATCTGAATTTCTAATTCATAAGATTCATACATGTAAGATATTCATACAATGTAAGATGGGGTGATATGTGTAATGTCATTTTTTAATGTCATGGTGTCTTTGTTTGCAGAAATGACATTTTCCCCAGGTTAAGAGCTTATAACACATACTTTGAAAACAGAAAGGCATTACAATTGTCATGCCGAGAGGTGAGTTTCAGGAGGTAGTTTTTCAATTTTCTAGGAAAACAATTGGTAATCTTGGCATTCTGTAAATTTATATTTTTTCTCCTTGATTCTTTATTGCTATTGATGTTTTTTACTGTTAAATTGCTGCGGCCTTTGTTGTTGCTGTTGTTGCTGTTGCTGCTGTTGCTCCTGCTGTTGTTACTTCCATTTTTGCTACTTTGGTTGCTGCAGTTTTTGTTGCTGTTGTTGTTGTTGTTGTTGCAGATGTTGTTGTTGTTGCTGCTGTTGCTACTGCTGATGTTGTTTTTGCTGCTGATGTTGTTGTGGTTGTTGTTGTTGCTGCTTATGTTGATGTTGTTGTTTCTGATGTTGTTGTTGCTGCTGCTGTTGCTGTTAGTGATGTTGTTGCTGCTGTTTTTGTTAATGCTATTGTTGTTAATGCTGTTATTGATGAGCTGATGTTGTTGTTGATGCTGTTATTGATGATGTTGTCATGTTGTCGTTGATGCTGTCATGAT